TTTTGCTTGGTTAAATTTGCTGCACTCTCTGGATGAAGAGAAAAGTTAACGCAGGCGGCAAACGTTTGCAATGCTTAGTGGTGTGCCCATGAAGAAGTTGGCAAGATTTGCAGTGCATAGGAGATGGGACATACTCTTTAACCATGAATTTTGACCAGGCTATGTCAATCTTGGTTAGAGCTTTATAGAGATTAAAAGTAAGCAATACTACATCGATTGATTTAATGTTTCCATCAACATTTCTCTGGAACTTATAAGCCGATACTACTCCTTGAGAGCTAAGTTCTTTAACTATTTCCTCCACAGGTACATAATTTAAAAATGATGCGTACACAGTACCTTTCACCTGGTTGAGCGTTTCATGGAAAGTGGCGGATATATCGCACATGTTAGGTAGTTGTTTTGTATTAATTAATTTTTGTGTTAATTGTTGTTTTTAACAAAGAGCAATAGTTTTCTATCGCGAAGAGAGGAAATTGAGTGGACATCACTGCTTATTAACTGAATTGCTCGATGAATAGCAAAAGGCGAAAAAGTAGAGAGAGGTTTTTCTGAACCGGTAGACTCAACAACAACAAACTTAGAATTTTCCAATTTATCTTGGGGTAGAAAGGGAAATGGAACCAAGGAGGAAGCACTACTTTTTTATGCTTTTCTTTTTTGGTCCAGAATCTAATAAGGCAAAACGATTTGCCCTTGTGTTTTTTATGCCAGTGGCCATAAATAATCAATTTTTAATCACTTATGCAAATAGAATAAAATTTACACACGCGAAAAAATCAAACAAATAATATGAAATAGAAAAGAAATATTAAATCAGAAATGAAAAAACCGAACTTTAGAGAACCGTTAGATAAATAAAAATAACCAAAATAGCACCGCAAGAGTAAGGAACGTCCGCTCAGCGCGAGAGATAGTCGGTGACTGTGTAATAAAAATATATGCAGTAAATAGTTTAATAATTTGTGAAAGATTTAAAATTATTTAATTATTAATTATTTATTTATTATATCGAAATGATATATTTAGTTTATTAAAGTGGACAGAAAAATTCCCTATTAGGTTAGTTAAACGATCTTGTATCTTGATGTCAAAAATTTAGCATGAATATACACGGCTATATGTTATACATATGATCAGATCAAAGAGTAATGCTCACTTTACGTGTGTGCCCAATGTTCATAAGATTGACACATTATATGCTTGTCTTGTTACGTCGAAAGAAAGGAACTTGAAAAATTCAGTGAGATGATCACTTGCATTAAAGTTAGTTCTTTAAAGCTGCGCTCTTTTAGCAAAGTGGAGAACATCTTCCTCTTTATTAATTTTCTGCTATTGTTTCTTTATGCTGTATATTATGGGTCAATGAACCAGATAGAACAGCTGACAATGCAGACGATTAGAATTTGATGTCCTGTTATGCAAAAAAAGATTGCAGTTATATTTTTGAATATAAGTACATATGAGTATGTATGATTGTATGTAAGCCAATCTTATGTATTGTAGTTTAGATACTGAATTTGGCGCTTACCTCTTTTTTTGCGGTTTATAAAAATTTTAAGAAATCCAGGAAAATTAGTTACTTTAAAAACCTCAAACAGAAAAAAATTATGGATTCAAGTTAATTCTGGCGGGAAGAGAATTCCGTCTTTAAGAAAAATATTTTCCCTGATTGCAGTTTTCTATTAATATCTGGAATTTTTTGGAAGAAATATATATGTTGGAAATTAAAAGAGTGCCTACTTACTACTTGGTTCAAAACCGTCTTACTTCCCTTTTTGTACGTTGTGTGTTGTGACGTAGTTTTTGGATTAGGGTGTGTACAAAATATTAGGAAGGCGTCATGTTATGCGCATGCTTAAACAAACAAATATTACAAACATGAGAAGCGAATGACAATAATTCTACAGCCAGCAGTTTTAGAAAAATACTTCTAAAGCCAGAAAGAGTATATCGAAAAAATTTGCGGGTAATGTGGTATAGTGCACAACAATACTTTTCTCCATAATTAATACAAAATGTTTGTAAGTTTAAAAAGAAATATTTTATTTAAAAAACTGTAAAACATGAAATTAAGTGGATGTGACCGCTTCAAAAGTCAACACCAACGCTAAATATATTTTGTTCGTTAGATCTGTATGTTTAATAAATGTTTACAACAAACGCAACGGACATACGTTAGTATGAGGGACACTGAATGTTTTCGAAGCCAAAAAAATACCCATTTCTCTTTTCCTCACTGTTTGTATTTCCCTTTCGTATTTCACCTTTTTTCTTCATATTTGTAGGTGGGAGCAGTACTTGCTATACTATACCACTTTAGCCGCCTTTGCCTTTACCAAAATAACCGACATAGAGTTTTATTACATTATTCATTAATAATAAATTACACAAAAATTTATACAAAATTTTACTTAAAGTGTTGATTAATATTATACTTACTTGTTACGTCTCGATCAGTGAACGTTTATTTAAAGCTCAAGATTTTTCTGTTAAAAATCGTTTTTTCCGAGCATAAAAAAGTTCACTGCTCCCCTAATCACTTTTATTTCAACTGACTATAGGCATTGCTTGCATATCACAAGTTGAATCTCGTTTCATTAAAAATCTGAGAAAACCGACTTATTTCGCAAGGTCGGGTTATTTCCATATTTATATTTAACGAGAAAAGCTGGTGGGCCTTATACCCGCCTATACCATATTACCCACATTTACTTTAACACCTTTTGTTTTCGCAACACTAACTTTGTTTTGTTACTTTCACCGTTTGATTTCATTTCAGTTTAATATTTTTGTAAGTATGAAAAAAAGTTCCTTCTTGCACCACTGTTTTTTTTTTTCAAATAGGATTTTTTTTATTTTTGCACCACTTTTTTTTGAAATATGTATTGAGGTGTATATTAGAAAAAATTCCTTTTCACAGTTTCTTTTAAGATAGCTTTTGTTGATAAGGTATTGATTTTATTTTTGGTTACTTAACTTTTTTTTTGTATAGATGAAAATTTTGTTTCCTTATTCTTGTTCTGCACCACAACTTTGTTTTACGTTTGTTATGCCAAAGCACCACCAACTAATGTGTAGTTCACAAGCTTTAGTTTATATTTTTTCGATCGTACGGCGGTACGCAGGTTTTTCGTTTAACAAGTTTTTAAGTTGAAAATTTTGTTTTTTAATATTAACAAATTATAAATTTTGTTTTTTTTTTCTATTGAAGTGGCTGTGCAACGTAACTTTTCTCGATTTCAGCCGGGAAGGACCAATGATCATGTCGATAATGACCCAAGTTTAAGTATTAACGCACTTTTTTCGATAAAATTCTATCACAATTATTTTAATTAAAGTCAACTTTAAGGGTTTCACATATAACTATTCATTTAGTAAAAAAAAGATTTTTTTTTCAAATATATAATTTAAAATATAATTAAAAGACAGAATAAGCATGCTTATGCTAAGACATCTTGAAACAGCGGAAGCAGGCTTCCTCACCAAGTTCCTCAATTTGTCTTTGACTACCCTAATGCTTCTGACGTGTGGAAAACGGATAGGGTGGACCCGCTACTCAAACCGAAGAAACCTGCCAACAAAGAAGAGTCTTATTGGCTATTAACTCGATTCGACTCGACCCAGTAGCGAAGACGCTTGAGACCTTGCTTCTACCGTAGGGAACACCCCAATAAGCACCTTATGGAAGCTGAACCGCCATATAGGCTCATCAGAAAGAGAGTACTTGACATGAAGGACAGCACCAAGCAATATGTGTAACAAATGCAGAACAGGACGGCGTACTGAAGTACTGAACATTATTCCCCAGGAGTCAATCAAAACTATCAAAGACTCCCTTCCCTCGAATGTCGTGTTCGGAAAAAAGAAACCCCTATTGCAGACAACGTGCTCAAGCTGCCTCGAGAGACCCGCGTGACCCTGATACAACTCTCTTTCTGGATATCTGGTCAAATCCCGTGGAAACAGCATGTTTCTTGTACTTCCCATTAGAAGACCTAGGCTACTTAGATTGATTAAACTTGTCCTTTAGCGGGGCTAGTGAACCGTTACAAAAACAACAACATTATTAAATAATGTTAGGTAAAAATAATGAAACTCTTCATGTCATCGAGGCCCTTGGGTACGATTAACAGCACTATTCCTGCGCAAACAAAAGCAAACTGCGCATCGCATCATCTGATCATAAATTCTTAGCAAAACCAACCGACGTCGGAGGGATTTTTTAAACGCTTTATTACTTATTTTATTCTTATATGGCAACTGCGGTACGCGAGTGGTTAGCATTGCGTACTGCTATTCGGATGAATGGGGTTTGTGATGATTCGGGTTCAGATCCTGGGGTCGGACTAACATCCAAGGAAAATTGTAGAAAATTATTTTAAATATTAAAAACAGGCTAAATTTTCTAGTCGCGGTCGCATAAAATGAAGCGGTAGGACATGAAATAAAGTTCCTCATCAAAAAAACCATCAGCCGTTCGGAGGCGCCATCATCACACGCTTTTCCACGGTAGTCGCAATAGTGAACCTACCGAAACCGCAAATATATTTTCGTTCTACGCCGTTTCTGAAAAGGGTGCCGGGTCAATGGAAACATTGAATAACCGTGAGAGATTTCAATCAATTGCGTGCAGTAAAAGCTCTTTGGAGAGGTTGTATTGTTTTACGCACAAAGAATAGTTACAATTTACGTTGATTTCAATCAGTTCGTCGGGGACCGGTATCGGTGGAGCTAAAATCGCTGCGATATCGCCGAAAAACGATGTTTTATTTGCGCAATAAAGGTTGTCATTTGATCGGCGTGGTTGTTCGAACCTATCTGAAATTTTTAAGGCCTTAAATTTGATATAAAAAGAAAGCTGATCTAAATTCAATGAAAATTGTTTACGTTATTCAACATTTCCATTTACCACGTATAGATGGAGCACCCCGTATTAACGAAAAATTACGCGGGCTGCTAGCAACCAGCTCGTGGTCTTCTTGACAACGGTTCACACGCTTCCTTCATCACTAAAGCTTGTGTAAAATGCCTTCTCCTTACGAGAATCGTGTCGGGAGTTCGCATCACTGGTATTGGGTCAATTGCAGGAGGTCACCAGAAGGAGAAGTCAAGGTATGCGTATTTCCGGAATCTTTAGTTAAATTTTACGTAAGTACAGAGCGAGTTCCAAAACGTCATACTTTGTAATGATGCGAAGCAAAAACGCTTTTCGTGCATGCTTGCTTTTCGGTGAATTGGCTAAAATATGAAACAGGACAAGGAAATAAGTAATATAATGTTAAAAAAAATTAGCGCTAAAAACTTGCTCTCCGTCGTCGGTTGCATCACAAACCTTAGCAGTTTGTGCTTCAAAAACTTCACCGATGCTTTTTGGATCATGATACATCGTCAAAGCTTGCACAGCTGCACTTAGGAATGCGTGACCATATATGGTTGCTTTGCAAATGACATATTGAAACTCGCCCTATGTTTATCAAAATAAATTCGATATTTGCCCACTCTTTAGCACGCAACGTAGAATTGACCGTGGGAAGAAGAAGACCACTGATATTCTAAGTAAAAATCCAGAAATCATCATTGTTTGACCTTGTGAATCAAATCATTATCTAACCCCTTTGAATACAAACAAAAAAATTTCATCAGAATCGATCGGAATTAAGAAAGTCGGAAAAACGAACAGTCACAAAAACTGTTTAGTTTTGAGAGGAAATGTAAGCTTGCACATTAAAAGATGAAAATGCGAAATTGAAAATTTCTTAAGCAGTTATTAAAACAATTATTACCCAAACTCAAACCCCAACTCTTAAATTTTGCGGTCAAGTGCTATAAATAAGTTCAATTTAGTAACTTCTATTTGGAGGGAATCCCATTCTCCTGATGTAATCCCACCCCCCTTACCAAGCTTTTATTATTTTTTTGCTTAACTAGTAATTATCTTACGGAATTTCTTTTGAGCTTTTATTATCTTTGTTTATTTTAACAGTCTTCCTTTTTTCAAAACCGATAACCAAATTCGACTTCCAAAATAACGGTCAACTAAGAAATTTTAGCCCAGCCTTTCGTTTTCTTAATTATCATATATATATAATGAAATTATAAACATATTTTTTTTTATTCTCTACACTGAACTAGATAAGGCTGAGGCAAGGTTGATCTCTTATCAGTTCAATGTCAATTTGTTTGACAAAATCTACTTGGCCTTTGAAGTAAAAGGGGCTCAACTCAATACAATAAATAATTGATTTTAGAAATACATATATGCAAATTAAATAAACTTTATTTGGTTTTATTAAATGAATTTTTTGCAATTATAGTCATTTCTGAAAATATTTTTTTTAATGCTGATAGAAAATGCATTTCCTCAATACACATCACCGTTATTCGGATTTTATATATGAAACAGATCAATACAGTCGCTCTCAAATTAAAACCTAGTATAAAACAACTAAAACAATTTATTTCATATATTTTTCAGAAGTGAACGCGCCGAATAAAAGCGATAACCGAGTTATTGGATGCAACTATATATATGTAAAGGCAAATATTAATGCTTGTTTCGTAGGTTACAACGCAAAAAGCAGCAGTTGAATTTTTGAATGAAATCATCAAGCGTTTAATTCCAAAAGAATAAATTTCTAAAATGCATTCAAGGCTATGAACACCTTACATGTTATTCATTGTGAGAAGGCAACAAGCAGCATATAGTGCTTAGTGTTATATATCTGTATAAATATATATATATAGATGTAAATGTATATATAAATATACATACATACATTTATGTACATATACACATATTTATATATACTAAAAACTAGCTGAAAAGGATAAAAAAATGCCACTGTTTGGCAAAAAAGATCCAAGCAAAAAGATGAAAAAGGAAAATAAAGAGATATATAAGCAAACTTCTATTGAAGAAAAGTATAACCTCCATGGATTACTTGGAACGTAAGTACAGCTTTGTTACTATAGATTCACTCGTAAAATGTGTATAAAAACCTCATATCAAGTTATAGTGAGTCAATTCTTCCGAAAAGGCTAAAATAATTTAAAAAAAATTTTACGTGACACACGTGCACTTACGATCTGGTATGTGATTATTCCTACATTATCATCTGAAAACCCCTTACTAAGATTTTTTCGGAAATGTTGGCGCAACCGATAGGAGCCTCGGGTCACGGATTAAAAAAAAAATTGATTTTAGTGGAGTCACTTCGACATATTCAGGTTAAAGGTTTGCTGAAGTCTCATTGCAGCATTGTTAACAAGAGGTGTTGTTACGAGCGGGTGTCGGTCTTGTAGTAAACGGCTCGATTAATAAATATGTACCATTGTGTGCTTTATAAATGTGTTACAGAAGGTTTCAAGACCGTATCAGGCTCTTTATATATATTTATATATATATATATATATATATATATGAATATATATATAATATATATAATAGGCGCTCTTCCTCCAATTTGTGCTTTTGCGTCTTGATGTTTTTCAAACAAATAGAAGGACCTACAGTTTATACTAAGCCGCCTCCGAACGGTTGATGGTTTCTTATGAGAGGTTTGACCTCCCCTGCCGAGGGACGACCGAAATTAAAAAATTTAAATCAATTTTTTATTTAAATTAATTTTCTATAACCCGAGCCTCCCGAAAGGCAGCACGTAATGCTAACCACTTGGCTTCCGTGAAATCGTTTTTCGAGATAAAAAGTATGCGAAACATTAACCAACCCAGCAGTGTTCCATTTATAATGTCTTTGTCATCAGAATCAGCAAAGCATTGTAAAAAATATAAATGAAAGAAAATTTCTTTTCGCATTTCACCGCATAGACGATTATAACTGTATCAAATATAGTGCGCCATTCGATTCTCTTAGCTTTTTGGCCAAGTGAAGCCACGTCGCCCTCCTCCAGGTTCAGGTAAGGTGGCAGCCCGGTCACACACTCACAGATTCAAATATTTGTTTCAACAAGGCTAAGTTTACCTCCGAGAGGGATGCATCATGAAGCGTGTGCGTAAAAGTAATCCAAACGCAGACGCGCTTTTGCATTTCCTGTTTTTTTCACGTTCAACGTGAGGCTTTGTCCCAGGACTCTGAATTTAGAAGTCTCGCCTAATCCTAAGCTCTTAGCCACTATCTTTATGTCATTAATGTGCTATCACTGTGTTTAATGTGTCGGACATGCATAAACTAGTCGGCTTCCCGAACACACTGAAAACAAAGACCAATAAAAACATGGTCAAAGTAACCAATTCTACATGGGCACATTCGCGGACAAATATTTATTGTTAAGTGTTGTATGTTGCGGAAATGTATTTCGCGTGGTATATCCCTACTCTCTTTCCCGTCATGCCTCCCAACTCATACATCTAATTGTCTGTTACACGTAAAACGACGCACTGAACTTATCTCGATGCTAGCTTGGCATTAAAATGGTCAATTTGGGAGATGTGTGGGAAGTTTCAGCGATATACCACAAACCCGAGCTTAAGTTTAATATTGTTTGTTCTAGAATTGTAAATCGTTTCACCTATGTCGTGTGTTTTTTTTAAGCTCGTCAAATAACTATTATCGAATCGCTTGTTGTCTCATTCAATTATACAGTCTGTAGAGTAGGTACAGAATAGTAATACGTCATATTTAGCAACATACTGTGCCATGGGCAGTCCAAACATAGCTCTAATGCCGCGTCACTAATGTGTTGATCCTAACATCACTGGATTTCACCAATATAGGCACGTATCATTTGTTACACCGACTGGTTTACCCCGTTCGCCATTATTCGCTTGAGGTGAATAGAAAACTGTCCTGATGTGATTCGTGCCATATCTACCCAAAAAGCTAGTGAACATTTCTGACACAAACTGTTTGCCATTGTCTGAATGAACGAGCTTTGGTACCCAAATGCATGGGATATATCCGTTTCTAAATATTTTACTAAACAGGTGTTGCTCGCGACATAGGCTTAAGAAACACAAATTTTCTAAAATTATCGAGAAATACGAACACAAAAAATTTCCATCATTTGTATATGGTCCCATAAAATCGACATGAGTGGAATTCATCATTACAAAACGGAACACATACTTGAAAGGATATTCATCCGATAACGGCCCGGAGTGCATTTAACTTTCATTCTCGTGTAGCTAGACGCAAACCCGTAATTTCAAAAGAAAATCAAAACAAACGTTTAGCCTATGCTAGAGACTACCTAAGCAAACCAATTGACTTTTGGGATATTGTACTCTTCTTGGATGAAAGTAAATTCAATATCTTTCAATCTGATGGCCGTCAAACTGTGTGGAGAAAACATAACACTTAACTTCAAAAAGAGAACCTTTCTGCCACTATAAAACATGGTGGTGGAGGAGTCATTATATGGGGCTGCATGTCCGGTGTGAGTGAGCTGGAATTCATTGACGGCATTATGAACAAAAAATACTATATGGAAATTCTTAAAATGAATGTCAAAACAAGTACCGAAAAACTCAAATTGCCTGAGTCATTTAATTTTTAGCACGACAATGATCCGAAGCATACCGCTCAAGATGTGCGTATGTGGCTTGCACACCACATTAAAGATACACTTCCACATCCGCCCCAGTCGCCTGATCTAAACCCAATTGAACATTTGTGGGGAGTGCTGGCACATAAGCGCATTAAAAAACGAGCTGCATCAACAAAAGAAGAGTTCAAGCTGGCACTGGTGGAGGAATGGCAGAATATAGGGGCAGAATTCACACAAAAATTAGTTTCATCGATGCTTGTCTTGGCTACAAAATATTAATTTCGTTAATATTTTTCCATTTTGTAATATTTTTTTTAGTGTTTTTTTGAAGTGTGGCAATACTTCTGCTTGGTGATTATTAGTACTTTTTTCATTTATAATTAGTATTAATTAAACATAATAGATAAAAAAAATGAATTGAAGTGAAAATAATTGAAAATGTGTCCCTCTGTCTAGCATTTTTTCCGAAGTTAAAATATTTTCATAAGTGGTAAAAAAAAATGTTAAAGTCTAGTTGTGCCAATACGTTAGTCCTACCCTAAACAAATAGCTGAGGACAATTGATGTGGAGCGACGAACTTTTTTATGCGGAGCTTTTGTTTCAAGTCAGAACTGCACTCGGAGCGGCGAACATTCCCTGCCGTGGAGCAACCGCAATACCAGGGAATTGAACCTGGTCCTTCCGAATGGCAATGCAAACCACTCAGCTACCGCTGCGACCACCCCAAATACATAAAAAGGGGGAATAAAACAATAATAATTCACAAAAAAAGTGGTATTTGATAAAATCCAAATTGAAACAAGTAGAAAGAAAAAAAAAAAACGCAAAGGCAACATATCGCATGAAATGTAAGGGAAAGTAACCACGATCAAAGTGCCCATGTTAAACGAACCATACATATATCTTAATTCTGATAGAAGGGTAGATTTATACAAAGAATGTGAAAACTATGAGTGTTGGAGAAAGGCGAGATACTTAAATTCAAATCTAAGTGTAGTCTATCTATAAGAGGGAGAGAGAGCCGAATTAGCTTACGACTCAACACCTGCCTGTGTCTTGTGCTTTTAATCACTTTGTTTTGATTATTTTTGGTTTAATTTGATTAAGCATTGACTAAGCATTTTCCACCGAATATCTTTCACATTGTGGGAACCTTGCAGCGGGAATCAAGTTACTGCTCCAGACGGTTGTGGCAAAAACGCTTGCTTGCTATATTACAAGATAAGCTGGAAAATTTTGCTTTTTACTTGAAGGTGTTACTAAGTTTTTAAGTTAGTCTTAAGCGAGAATTGAACACAACCTTCTGAGTAATAAAAAATAAAGTAAGAATCGGTCCGCAAAAGGTTTTAAACTAAAAAATATTTCAAATTACATTATTATTACACTGTGCAATAGCAAAATTTAAAAGAAAAAAAGTGAAACCTAACTGTGGAGAATCTCAAGCTTTGTGACGAGATTTCTTTGTGGGACCACACCAATCGCACTGAAACAACGAAGCGGAAAATAACACAGTGTTACAAAAATAAGCCTTTCAACATTCAAACAAAAAAAAGAGGAAAAAATTACTGAACTAAAATAAAAATATACATTTAAAAAAAGAAAAAATTCCGCAAAAAAAAGGAATGAAGAATTTATAAGCAAAAATTCATCAAGACAAAGAAAGCCATCAAGAAGAAGCGGGTACAATTGACAACAGCACCATCTACCATTCTGAAGTAAGCAGAAGTCGACACTCTGGCAAGGTGGAGCAAATCTGCAGTAACAACTACAAAAAGTAATATAGCATTAATTTTGTAAGAATTTTTACTTTTAAGTACAAACTGGAATCCGATAGCTCTATTGAATATTTGCCGGAAGAGAGAGACTAAGTAAGCGCTGGAGCTAGTGGTCCCGCAAGTGATACCGAATATGTATTGTACTAAGCAAAAAAGAAACACTAAAAGTTGAAGTCAATTATTTGGTTTATTAGTTTTGTTTTTTAACCACCTCTGAAATGGCAACCGCATAGCAGATTAAGAGTTAAATAGATGCCCAAATAGGCCCTTTGATTAGGAAAATCGAAGAACTATCTAGAAGCCATTGACGACAAAATTACAAGAAGAATGGAAATCGCTAGTATTATGCAGCTTTAACAATATTAAGAAACAAAATAACTGACGGTGCAAATGACATACTTACTAATCATGGAACTGTTCTAAATTTTGATACAATCCTGAGCCGCTTAGATTCCCTTACGCACATAAGCGACCATTACATCTAATCGAACAAGAACTCAGCATTATGCGACACGGCTCATTGAGCTAATTGATTACTATAACGAAGTAAATAAAAAATTGACCGCGTTAATCAATAAAACAATAATGACCCTCGGCTCAGATTCGGAGTTAACAAGAGAATCAAATTAAAAGAATAGACGATATGCCCTAAGAGTTTTTATAACG